TGTCCTGCCCTGTCATGTGCCAACCTTAGCACTTCTCCTCGTAATTGTCCCGGCACCACCACCTGGTGTATTGTGCCATCAATTTGGTCATGAATTCTCCGCATGAGAACACCATCCTTTATACTGAGACGGTTCCACTGACTCAGTATTTTCTTTGTTTCTCGACCAAATTGTTCTCTTTCCCTTCTTCCTGGGAATTTTTGTTCCTGGACGTGTTTCAATAGCGGTTGTAAGCCACTATCCGTTCTCTGGGCATCTCTTATCTTTTGGTGATTAAGGCAATTAAAATCACTACTGTCCATATGTTCGGGTTCCGTGGATATGTGCTCCACCCCGGTCTGCCCGTTCTGCATCACTTGTACCCCATGAGGGATATCTGTTGACGCTCTGACCTCACATATTCCTGTCAGCGTTTCTTCCTCATCACCCGGTTTCTCGTAAGGATTCCTTGATAAGGCGTCCGCATTGCCATTGGACCGCCCCGGGCGATGTTTTCTCTCTAGGTCAACGAGTGCCAATTCTGCTGCCCATCGCTGTTCGATGGATCCCAGCCTTGCTGTAATTTGAAGTTCTTTTTCAATATCTGATAATTTTTCTTCAAGTCTTGTTTGAGACTCTTTCATTCCTTCTAGTTTGCCAACACTGTTCTGTTGTCTAATATTTTTATTTACTTCTTCCGATAACAGACACTTTAAAGATGAACATTTCTCCTGTGCTTTTGATTTGCATGAACTTTTCCTATCCAGTTTCCTGGTTAGACTTTGAATTCCTTTATTAAGTCTACCAATTTTCTTCTTATCATCATTTTTCTCTACCAACAAATTGTTCACTTGACACTTTTCAACATTCAAGTTCATTTCACAGTTCATTTTTTCCATTAGTTGTGTTTTACCTTTCTTTTTCTCCTTACTGTGTTTCTTTGTCATTTTGTTTACCAAGTCATTACCTCGCCGCTCTGTAGCCTTGACCTGCCTTACAGAGGGCGATCGTTTCACCGGACAGTACCGTGCCATATGTCCGGGTTGTGAACAAGACAAACAAATTGGTCGACCGTCTGCCGTCCATTGGAGTGATGGCTTGGCAGGACACGGCCGTCCAACCCGTCCCTGTTTTGTCCCGTTCTTTTCCTGATTCTCAGCTGTTGACCTGCTTTCCAACCTCTCCAAACGTTGGTCAACCTTCTCTAGGTGGGCCAACAGTTGAGCCATCATGGTCTCCATCGTGTCGGCCCCTGTGGGTGGGGATTGTCTCTGTTCAGGCACAGAGACTTTGTCCACCGAACAGTTCGATTGGTCCTCATCCTCGGACCTGCGGATCGCTGAGTTCCTGACCTGAAGGAAGGTCAACTGCTGGTCTCTGTGGACCTCCTCTTTCAACTCTCTCCTTAAGATCGGGGTTGCTAGCCCCTCGATGAAATGGTCCCTCAGTAGGCGTACATCAATGTCCGGTGATTTGCCCTTTACCAAATCAAAGGCCCTGTTCATCCTGTGTGAGTACTCCATCACACTCTCCGCCATTCTCTGCTTTAAGCCCACGAATCCCGATAGCAGTTGCACTCCCGACCGTCTCTCCCCAAAGGTCTCCATAATCAGATCCAGCACCTTATCTGGATCTGATTGGACGGTCCTATCGTGGCACTTAACCTCTGCCCTAACCGTTTCACCTATACTGCCCATCAGCAGTCTTAATCTTTCCTCTGGTGACATATGTCTCGAGGCCCAGGCCGCTTTGACCTCTTCACTGAACCTGTTGGTTAAAGTTGGATCTCCGTCCCCGTAAAATTTGTTAATATGGGACTCTCTGGGTAGGACCACTATATGGGTCTGCTTCTCGTCCAGAGTAGACATTTTCTTCCTTAAGTACTAAAAAAAAGAGTTCTTTCTTACCGTGTGTGTATGAAAAATTTTTCCTCGTTCCTCAATTTTCACAGTTCCTGAATGTCCGAATTCACACACACACTAAACACAGTTATGCACAAGGTTGACTATAGGTGCCTTAAACGGCAAGTCTAGTTGAATTCATCCTGATCGCAGCGCCAATTGTGACGAGCGAACATTTACCCTGCTCGCAGCGCCAATTGTGACGAGCGAACATTTATCCTGCCGACAACGCCAATTGTAACGAGCCAACAGTTACCATGCTCGCAACGCCACATGAAATGAGACCTAATTGCCTGTAGTGCCACGTGTTAACGAGTTTAACCACTCATTCTAGACAACATTGACCACAGTATAGATACTCAAGATGCAGGTTCGCTATTGATCCTTTATTACATGAATCAAGAAATGCTTCATAATAACACAATAAATCAACAGGAATGCTTCTCAATAATAGTCTGAATCAACTGACCCCTAACAGTCCTTCACTAGGCTTCATATAACTGAATCCACATGTCTATAATCCTCCTTAACACAATACGGCTAACCCGTTCTATAACCGACTTGACATAGTCACACAGACTGACTGATCTAAGCGAGCGATGAAAGAGGTAAGAGCTCGGAAAGGGGAAGAGAACGAGTTCAGTCGTCCCCTCCTATTTATGCCTTGTATCCGTACTCGTCCCCGTACTTGTATTCCTCCGTAATCGATACTTGTACTCGATCTCCGACCACCAGTTGCGTAGTTCAAACGTACAGACCGTAAAATAACATCTGCGTCCTATCCATCAAAGTTGACAGGCCGTCTGAATACCGTTTCCCAAAATAGCACGCGCCGGCTTTGAGGTTGTTATCAGCCCGACCCAATAAGCCACCTGTTATCGGTTGCATCAGACCAACACTGTGTCTCGGCTTCTCGTTCGTTATCATTTGTAACTGGTAGTTAGGCCTACCCCAGTTACATATATATATATATATATATATATATAATGTATGTATATATATATATATATATATATATATATATATATATATATATACACATATATACATATATATATATATACACATATATACATATATATATATATACACATATATACATATATATATATACACACATATATATATATATACATATATACATACATATATACATATATAAATATATAAATTAAAAAAAAATATTGATAAAGATATATGAATATATATATATAATCAAAGTATGTCTGCGGTCGGTGGACTGGCTTTGTCTTTTATTGAAATCCTAATGCCTGAAGGGATCATGTTCATTTTTACAATACTGGTGCATTATAACACTAGTGACGGCTATTAGGGGCAGATAATTTAGTTTTTAAACTATTTGAAACTAGGGGAGAAAGTAACATGTTCTGCTTGCTCTCTTCATTGTAGCCTATAAACTGTCGCCTCTAAACTGTCGTCACAGACGTCTACTTTCGCGGAGGGAAGCGGGGGGGAGAGGAGTGGAAATTGAGGGTGAGGATAATTGTCCTTCACTAAGTACTGATAGTGTTTTAAAGCAAAATATTTTCAGTCGCAGCATTGGTAGAGTCGAATTCACAAATTATGAATTACTGAAAAATAGGAATTAAACTAAATATCGGCGTATGCTATGTCGCGGGTCAGCTCATATCTTATTTCACCAGTTCACTTTGCAATAGGGTGTGTTCAACTTTTGGCCAAATATGTAGCCTAATAATACTTAGATCTATATCTAGGAGTTGTCCATTATTTTTTTCACTGTAGTCCAATACTAGTATACAACCTTAGTCCACTATCGTTACGACATCAGTATCGCATGATTTTGTACATGATTTTGTAAGCGGTCTATTTTCAAATGTATCATTTTAATTAACGTCATGTGGAATACAAAAAGTCAAAGAAAATGTATCATCCTTCACAAAAATTTAAAAAGTGTACAAATTACTTCACTTTATTCCTTTATTGCCAATTACTTCCCTTGATAGATCACAAAAAAAAGTATTGCTTCCCTTAAAAAAAAAACATTACATTTGGGAAAAAAATACTTTTCATTAGTTTGTTTTGGTGTTGGAAAAATAAAATCATACTGTTAGCATAGATATTAAGTGCAATGTGGTGGGGAAAACACGGATATTTTACATACTGCCTTTTCTTTATTTTATACACTGAATGCACTGTTTACTAATTATTACTTGTAATCAGTAATAGTTTAGAAGGCGCTCCTAAATGTCCTCGATGTTTACTTCTATCTTTCCGTTTGCGGATAAGCTGTGGGTATTTTAGTCGATCACTAAATTGATTCAGGTGCGTTTCCGCCAGTGCCCCGGCAGGGTGTGATCTGTCGCCCTGGGCTTTCCTGTGAGCGTTATGGCAATGTTAGTTTTAAACAGTGAGATAGACTATTAATAAGAAGAGGTACTATAGTCCTTAACTAAATCCAATCCAGGCGTTCTCCATCGCTCCGACAGGGTGCTATTTGGCGGCCCGTATCTTCCCGTGAGTGCTATGGCGACTATGTTCGGTTTAGTGATATCAATAGAGTATGTATAGTCGTTTATTAAGTTGTATCAGTCGATTCGGTCGGCGCCCTGGCAGGGTGTGATTTTGTGCCCCATCTGTATTGTGAGCACTATGCTTTTATGTTTGTATTTAAATTTATGTTTATGTTCTTTGTTTAGGTTTGCTTTGTATTTGCATTTGTGTTGGAGTTTGTGATTTTGTTTTCATTTGTGGTCGGGTTCTGTTTGTGTTTGCTTTTGTGTTTGTGTTTGCTATTGTAATTGAGTTAATGTTTGTGTTTTTGTTTTCGTTTCTGTTTGTGTCTGTGTTTGGGTTTGTGTAATGTTTGTGTTTGCGTTTTGGTTGGTTGTGGTTAGTATTAAGTTTAAAGTTAGAGTTGGGTTTAGGGTTATGTTTTCTTTTGTCAAATGTCCATGCTGGGTATATGCTGCTGAATTATCACACAAGTCATGGTCCTTTACAGATAGGTTTTTCACAGAGGACCGTGCAGGGCCTGGTCGGGACAGCTAGTATAAAACTAAATTCTAAAGTAATTGTTTCTGAAAATATTCTAGTGGTTTAATTTATTCAATATATTTTTTTCTTATCTTTTGTTTCTAGCGTCTATTGTCATTCCGGGATCCGCATGTTGCAAGTCCTCATTTGCAACTTGAAAAAGCTGATAATCAGTGCAGAAGATTTTTAGAGTCTCCATTTGATGAAATGGTAGCTTCACATCTTAGGTAATCATTTTAGATAATTTTATTGGTGTGTTTTATGTCAAATAATTTTTAAATAAAAAGTATTGCAGACAATTATTTCAAGATCTAACATTATATTAGATATGCAAACTAACATACTTGTTTCCTTTCTTTCTTTTTAGAGTGTTTTTACTATTCATATTTTTGTTACAAACTGTTATGCTATTTTAATTCTTCCTCGTTGTTCCTAATTATGATATTGGTGGAGATATCTTCCAACACAATTAAAATTATTACATATCAACATGTAATGTGCCATTTGGTCAATTGAATACAACTCCCTACTTGCTTTTCTTTCTGGAATTGCTTGAAATATCTCAGTGTCTAAATTTCAAATAGCAATCCAAAAATGAATTTCTATACCTTGACTATACAATAAATATAAAATAAATCAGGTTACAAACATACAACCGGTTTCCAGAGGTGTAGCAACCACTCCAGGCGCCTGGGGAAAACTTTCAATTTATTTTATATATATATATATATATATATATATATATATATATATATATATATATATATATATATATATATATATATATATATATATACACACAAATATATGACGGGTTTAATGATAGTGGCACCACCCAATGCATTGTCAAAAAAATTCAATCAAGATCTATTACTGTATGCCTCTGAGCTAGGTTACAGAGGCATACAGTAAAAGAGACTTTACATTTGGCTATAGATCTTGATTGAATTTTTTTTTACAATGCATTTGAATTCCACATGAAATGAAATTAGAGCATCGAAAAGGTGTTGGTTAGGGCACAAAATCAGAAAGACAGTAAATAACATCACTAATAGGTGTTGGTGTAAAGTCCACGGGGAAAGAGGAAGAGGAGGAGACAAAAAAGTCATGAAGGAAATCGTTTGAACTAGAGATGGGGGAGGCTGGAGTATTAAGGTTCGATCTTCTTTAAAAAAAAATGTGAGTTGACAAAGTGTTGCCAAGGCCTATGCTACTTAGCAAACCAAACAAATAAAAAGAAGAAATTTTTTTTTTGTATTTTAAATATGATGGCAAATCATTTTTTAAAAAAATGGCTCAGAATTTTTTGAATGTTATGTCAAGAATGTAACAAAGTGAGGACATTTAAATATTTTGCTTTTGAACAGGTAAACCTTTCGTGCACAATAAAATCAAATTCAAATGTAAACGTTCGCATTGCTATGTTAACCGTTTTAAAAAATGATAGAACGCGATTATGATTCCAATCATATTTGCCCTTCTTATTTGCAGCAGTTATTGACTGTTACCGGCGTATAATTTTTATTTCAACTTTTTACTTTTTTTTGTTAATCTCATATTGAGTTTAAAAGGTGAGTTTTCAAAAATTTACTTAAAATAGTAAAACATTGAGACTAACTGTTTTTAGTGGGATTATCTTCATTTTTATTAAGCTTTCTAACTAGCATATTTATTTTAGGTTTATCCGTTTAGCAGACTGCAAAATGTCTCACAAACTAGGTACCCTATTAGCGGTATCGATATCGCAATTTGATGTTCATTCATTTTATAGGAATTATTTCACTAATTTTTATACATTTTTTTCTTAAAGAATGTTAATAATTAAACTAGTAAATGAGTTGATTCAAAGATAATAAATTAAGCTTTTTAAAATAATAAAAATTGTATGAGTTGAGCTAATATGTTGCTGCCTGTACTGCGTGCTACTAATGATTGAATTAGGCATACGATAGCACAAAGTTGAAGTTAAGTTATACATAGAATGATTTAAAACTAAAAATAATGACACTAGGTTTAATTTGAGTAAGACGTTACGATTTTTAGTTTAATTTTTTAACAACGAAAATCATCCTTTTCTTAATGCATTATAGCAGAGGCTTAAATCTAAAAATCGAGAAAGGTGGTATCGCTAATGTTTTGTCGCTATATCTGTTGGTATTTAGATTTAATTAAAATAAGAAAACATTCAGACTTAATTTAAATTTAGTGTGAGTTGGTACATCTTTAATGATATTTTCACAAATGTTTTTACTTTCTTCAGACGTTCACAAGCTGTATAACCCGACTAACAAAATAGACCCTGTAGGCCTATTTATTTGCAATATCGATACTACCTCTCTCCGCTTTCGTATTCCGTTATATTTGTATTATATTATTAGGTCGTTAGGTCTATTTAAAATGTAAAATAAAGATGTATCTAAGCTGTCTTAAACATTATAAGCCAAAGGTGGAAATTATTAATTGAACAGTGGTTGATTAAATTCACCAAGTAGACTGTGCGGGATCCAAAATCTTATTAATATAAGAAATATTAGTTATAAACACAACATTTTACGAGTGTGTTCATTCTATGTTAACAAGCTGAATGTGTACACTGATAGTCTTCATTTATTTCATATCCCATTAGTTTTTGCTAAAGAATAAAACATACCCTTGTAAACAAAGGACTATATTTATTTGCTTGATACCCTCTCAAACCCAAATAACGATTGTATAAGGAGGGTGGGGGGACTTTCTGAGTTAAAGACCTTTGAGTCGGGTGCTTATTGAATTGCTTTTGTTAAGTTAGTGTGATTGTTTTTTTCGATACTACATCTAAAAATGAAGTTGAAAGTATGTAAAGTATGGTTGATAAGTTAGCTATGTAGTCCTGGGGTACCTTTTGCTTTTATAAACGTGGTACAGAATTAAATCTGCCCTTCATCGTCCACAAATAAAGTCACGCTTTTTTACACACATTCCCCTCCCCATCCATAGCTTATCCTCATTTTTTTCTAGACGTTTTTTCAGACCCCATATCCCCAAGCTTTTGTTAAACGTTATCACAACTGGACAGTGTGGTCTAGTATGTAGTATGTCAGCTAACTAAACTAATAGATCATAGGTCATCCCACCACCAAACTGTCCCTCACGTTCAAAACCAGGTGGCAAGATGCCGTATTTAAAACTGGAAGCAAAAGTCTGACAGCTGTGTGAAATGCTCGATTCTTGATAACGTTGCTGTTTGTTTCGTGCCAGCTATGTTCAGTTATCTAACGACACCCAGAGATTATCTCTTAACTGACATGCTTCCAATAAGTCAAAAACACTCATATATGTTGCACTGTACTGAGCTGGTTCTATGATACCAGTTACCTAGGAATTCGGAATGTTTATTTTTTTTACTCAGCCAGTTTCTTTTATTTTTACTATTACTATGACGTTTGAGTTAAATGATTGAATCTATCCAGTGGTATATTTTTATTTAAATAAATTCTTAATAGACCACTTTTAAATTAAATAATTTATTAATATCTATGCAGTTGTAAATGCATTAAAAATACTTATTTGAAAATTTTATAATTGTGTGCCTTCGCAGAGTTATTTCCCTTTCGCCTTTTCTCTTTACTCTCGACGTGACCAGTTTTCATTTTCCATAGGCTTAGTTGTCCCCACAATTTTTACACTAAAACCGTCATATCTAGAGAACCGTTTATCCTATAAACATAAATTTGGTATCATTTTGCAACATTTAGTCCCCGTCATTATTTTGTCATTTTAATTATTTAAAAAATTGTGTGCAACTAGCTAATATATATATTAGTATCATCTACTCCATAAAGTTTTATGGCACTCCTTGGGCGCCACCCTTGTGAAATTAAAAAGATTCTTTACAGAAACCTTCCCTGGAGTTTTCTAATCAACTCCCCAAAGTTTGATGCCGATCGGATAAATGGTGTCAACCCACAATCGGCTTTTAATTTTTATATACAGTATATAGAGAAAAAACAAATCACGCCCTGCCTGGGCGTAACCCCTGCCTGGAGTTTCTTGACAACTTCCCAAAGTTTCATGGCAATCGGATGAAAGGTGTAGTAATGCATTAAAGACAGACAGATACACACACACACACACACACACACAAACACACACACACATCGACCAATGCTTTTCTTTTTTTGTTAGTGCATTTAAAAGTTGTTTTTTTAGAAGTTTTTTTTTTTGTATTTGTTTTAATTCCTATAAAGAGGGTGTTTTTTTTTTTTTTTTTTTTTTTTTTTTTGCTTACTTAATGCCAATTTTCATTGTCTTATATTTTATATATATAAGTTAGTTTATTAGTTTTTAACATTGCACTTGCAACATATTTTCTTTACCATTTTTTTGTTTGGGTTAAGATGTTGCTGGGCTGTGAGTAACCATGACTTTGCAGAAGCATACAACAATCAAGCTTTTGTGGTTCAATATCCTTTATATACGGATAATTTATATATTTCGTTTTTTAGCGTTTATTGTATGAACATTGCATAATAATTAATAAGGTCAGACTAAAAATATATTTTGCTCACTAAAATCAAAATATAATTTTTATTTGGTAGGCCCACATTCTTAATTAACAGTCTTCACCATTTTAAAAATCACATTTCTCTTTTTTCATTTATATTTAGATAAAAGTTTGTTGTATTTTTTTTAAAAAGGGGTATTGTTATTATACCTAAATGATTACATGCTTCTTGAAAGCTCTTCAGTCACAGAAAGAAGAAAACTGGGCTCTTCCAGTTATGTTCACAGTTTCCCTTGACCTCAGATTATTTGCAGTCAGTGTAAGTTTTTAAATTTGTTTTGGCTTTATTGTTGAAATATTTTTGCTTGGGTGTTGGAAGGTAAGGAAGTATTTAACTTGAGCAGTATCATGAAAACACCTCACTCACAATATTTAGAATAGGTAATTGATACTAATTGTCTTTCATTAAGATCTTTGATTCACATCACTCAATTGCTTAAAGTAAGCAAATCCTTAATCTATATAGTATATATACAATATAAAAATTTTTTATATTTTAAAAATGTATGTCGACAATTATTACTGTCATTTGGTTGTGAAGGTATCTAATAATTCTTTTAGATCATTATTTTTAGTGCCAGGAACCTCACAGTGTTATGGACATTACATTTATACCTTAAGTTTAAAAATCAAATTTAAACAACAAATTTTAAAAAGTCTAGATGCTTGATAAGAAGATGTTTTTTGTAAATACATTTTTTTAAAATTAATTTTCAAAATGTATGTAATATAACAGGCAGATATTCAACTTGTTAAAAGGAATAAGGGCAAAGTTGGAGAAAAGTTGGAAAAAGCTGCAGAGTTATTGATGAACCTTTTTAGAGTTTGTGCCTCAGACAAGTAAGTTCACTTTTTTTAGGGGAAGGAAAACATACATAGAACTTACATAAGTAAACTTAAACTTCTGTTAAACCCACCAACCTCTTATTTTTTTTTTTTTTGTCTTTTAAATATATTTATTTTAAATTTCAGCCGTGCAGCCATAGAAGACTCAAAGAAATGGGGCATGTTAAACCTAGTGAATCAGTTATTTAAAATTTACTTCAAGGTTAAAGTGAAAAATAATTTTTCTAGCTTCTTTATAGTCAACTAAAACTAAATTATGGTTAGAAAATCTTTCTGCTAATTTATTGAGATAGTAAACTATTCATAACGATTTTTCAGAATAAGTGAGCTTATACTTACTCATTGGTTAAAATTATTTAAGGATAAAAAAAAACTCAAATAAGAGCTAATAATTAGCAGTCAAAAAAAAAGATTGTAAAAATTCATTTTTATATTTTTAGAAATCTTTCCTGGTGTTTATTTTGTACTACACATATTTTTACTATATTTATAGATTAACAAGCTTCATTTGTGCAAACCATTAATCAGAGCAATAGAGAACCTTCCTATTAAGGATAAATTCAGTCTTTCTCAACTAGTCACTTACAGGTTCTATGTTGGAAGAAAAGCCATGTTTGACAGTGATTACAAAAGTGGTAATGTTTAACAATACTTCATTTAATTTAGTTTATAATATAAAACTTTAGAGGTAAAAAGCAAGTGTTGACTAAATCACTGCAATAATTTTTGTTAATAATTATACTACTAATAAATCTAAATAATATGAGTAGAAAACTTAACTATTTTTTTTTATATAAATCATTAAATGGATGTTTTCTTTTCACAGCTGAGGAATATCTTATGTTTGCCTTTGAAAAATGTCATAAACATAGCCACAAGAATAAAAGACTTACTTTGATATATCTTATCCCTGTTAAAATGCTTTTGGTAAATTTCTTTATTTAATTTTTTTCTAGGAGTAATGCTTTAAATTAAAAATTTTGAAAATTATCTAAAAAATTAGAAACAAAGTCTAATTAACTTTTAAGAGGTCTACTGCAACAAAAATTTTTTAAAAAGCCCCTTATTTTGAATACACAAAAACAGCGATAAAAGTTTATAAATGGATCTTTTTTTATTTTTTTATTTATAAGTATTGAAAGAAATCAGTTATCTGTCAGATTAATAATTGATTTATTATTTCAATTAACTAACACTTGTAAGGTCCTTTAAGCTGGAGTTGTTCTTTTTAAAAAAAAAAAAAATTAAAACAAGTTAATCAATCTAATAATGCTATAGAAGTACTTTTTAATGATTTAGATTATTCCATTACATTATTCCAAAATGGTGTTTGCAAATAAAAGACATTTTTTCTTACAGGGTCATATGCCCAAATTAACCCTGCTTGCCAAGTATGATCTTAATCAATTTACAGATGTTGTTCAGTCTGTCAGGTAAATTTCACTTACATTACATTTTCAAGTTGTTTTAAAAGTCTTCAGCAAATAATATACATCTATGACACCTACAATTTTTTACTCTAAATAATTGAAGATTTTAACTTCATTTCAGAATTAAGTGTTAGGTTAGACATAAGATTAGGTTAGCCTTTTGGCCATCATTAGACATAGGCCGCTAAATAAAAGCTTACCAGGCATCTCTCCTTTGGGCTAGTCTGTACAAATGTCCCCAGGTGGGGTCTATGACAAATTCCCGAAAGACACTTGCCCGAATACAGCTGATTTACCTAATGGACACTTTCCTGAATGCGACAAATGCCCGAATGGACACTTGCCCAAAGGCTATTTGCCTGAAAAATGTTAATATTATATATTTCCAAATAATCGTTCGTAATCAATTTAAATTTGAAATTTTTATAAACAATACATGACTATCTAAGCCAGGGGTCTCCAAACTTTTCAACCGGAGGGCCGCATTGACTATCAAATATCAGTTCGGGGGCCAGAGTTTCTTCAAGGCATATCTTCTTCAAGCCCTTCCCCCCGCCGAACAACGCGCCCCGCGCCCCCCCCCCCCCAAACAAAATATAATTTATATAGCAATATATACAAATTTCAAGTGCTGCCGTGCCCCCTCCCCCCCCCCCCCCCCCCAGAGGAATTGCTCTCAAATTATTCTTCATGTATTCTATTTTCTATATCTATGGTTGAGCCCATGTGACCTTATGAAATTCGCCATCTTCACCACAGGATTCAGTACACTGCTAATGTCCATATATTTAGCACACAAAGCTTGCTGATGAATAATAGAGTACAGGAACATTGGTTGTCGAATATTTTTCTCATTAGCTTGTCCAATGAAGCCTTTCTTTATGCCACTAACATACTTTTCCCCATCAACAGTCAGGTAACTGAGGTTAGTCCAGTCCAAGTTATAATCAGCAAATGTTTTCTTTAACATAATGAATATATCCTCCCCGGTAACAGTGCCATATATGTTATGTAGGGAAGCCAGCTCTTGTGTTATGTTCATGTCTTCATCCACACCTCTAATGAACACAAGCAGTTTAGAGGGGGAACAGCTGTCCAGCAACTCATCCATTGCAATTTAAAAATTGTGAAACTTGCTTGCATTTTTCGCTATTTGAGTCACGATGTTTTCACCAATGTCTGCAACAGGGTGGGCAAAGGTATTTGACCCAAAGCTACATTTTCAAGTTGTTTGGATTTTTCTGGGCAAAGTTCCTCAGCCACCTCTAACAGACATTTTTGCGTGGACAAAAAGATCTCAGCGGGCCGGATGAGAGGACCTTGCGGGCCGCATCCGGCCCGCGAACCGTAATTTGGAGACCCCTCATCTAAGCAAAAAAGAAAAGAATAAAATAATGTTATATTTTACCGTGCAGACATTCTTAATTAATTAGTATTTGCTGTATAAAAAGTGTATTATTTTCATTCCTATTTATGAAACAACACAAAAAATACCATTTTCGTTTATCTCATGATCTTAAAATGAATTTTGATTTATTTATTAAGTAATCGCGTCAACACATTGTCTAAACAAGGTGCATAAAATAGAGATAAAACTTAATTGACTATCTTTAGTTTGTAAATTCGCCGCCTAGACAGCACCTCGTTCTTTGTGAAATGATCACCACACATGTTAAACAAAACAAAAAAAATGAAAAGAAAGCGCTTTGTTCAATTTTGCGAGACGCCGCGTCGCCTACACCAAGTCATAAATGCCCTCTAGCCACTGCAACATGTTGGTTAAACTAGGTGTTCAAAACGTTTATAAAAAGAATGTAGAGACACCGCCACCAACATCACCTTATATTGGTTTAAGAAAAAAAAGATTTTTTTACAGCAATTTCTCAATTTTCATAAAATAAAAGCTAAATTTTAAAAAATATGAACAACTTTGTTTTTATGCTTAGAATTGTGTTTATTATCAATATTTCAAACTTGAATTGATGGAGAATGTCTATTTGGTAATATTATTTATTTCCTAATATTAACATTTTTCCGGCAAACAGCCTTCTGGCTAGTGGCTTTCGGGCATTTGTTGCATTCTGGCAAGTGTCCATTTGGGCATTTGTCGCATTCGGGCAAGTGTCCAATCGGGCATTTGTCGCGTTCGGGCATTTGTGGCATTCGGGAAAGTGTCCATTTGGGCATTTGTCGCATTCGGGCATTTGTTGCATTCGGGAAAGTGTCCATTCGGGCATTTGTCGCATTCGGGCGTTTGTCGCATTCGGGCAAGTGTCCATTCGGGCATTTGTCGCATTTGGGCAAGTGTCCATTCGGGAAATTGGCCTTCGGGCAAACGGCATTCATGCAAGTGTCTTTTGGGAAAACGTCAGGCTTCCCCATCCTCCCCCCCCCCCATGTGTATCCCATCCAATGTTCTATATTGACTTTCACCACCAGCTTCTCCATGGAGAAATTATCTATTTGTATATCTTAATTGTCTAACTTACCTGTAGGCCCTGGTTAAGTTCAAGTTTTTGAGTGAAGTATCAGACCTAAATCACGATGTTTGTAGAATAGTCGAAGATAACAGATGAACTGTTGTTTAAAACATTTGTTAATGACAAAGATGCAGTTGGGAGGATTTGAAATAGTCAAACTATGTAATAACCAAGAGAACCACATTAACCCTCACCCTACCTTGTGATTTACCAGCCTACGCTGTGATTTACTTACCCATATACAATTAAATATAGAAAAACAATTTTGTGATGATGGGCAATGCGAGGGTAAAGAGTGGTGAGGGGTTGAAGAAATGTAACACAGTAGTCTCTTTGTACTTCTTAAAAATAAAGACGTTAAACAAATGTTAATTCACATTATAATTTCATTAATTGAAGGGTGGGGGTTGTTGTTGGAACTTTGATGTCACTATGTCAGCTGTGGGGTTAGGCCTTACATGACATTACTGAGTGTGGAAGGAGGACAAAAATCACCTAATTACAGACAGTCTCTAATGTTCACATTTTTTATATTGTGTCCAGCTATGAGTATACTGTTTTGTTGTCACTGTGGTATATTCTTCAATTACACACTTAAATAATTGGTTTGACAGTTTCATCACATCTTTCAAGGAATTAATTGTATTAGACAGGTGTATCCTCCTATTCTTTGTGTTTGCATGTTAAATTTGATCTCAAAAGTAAAATGCATGGTCCATAAAATGCATGGCAGCATGTTCTAGCCTGCTCTTATTTTTCTGCTTTGGCCATAAATTCTCTTGTTTAGGGATCCGGACAAAAGGCTGACTGGAAATAAGGCACACAACTTAAGGCTGACATCCAAAAGGCCGAAACATTTTTTTTATTATTAAAATCAAATTAAATAATGATAAAGTGAAAGTACAACATAAAACAAAATAGGGTCTAGTATGATAAATTATATGCTTAAGCACATAGAAATTCAAGTTTACTTCTGTCTTCACGTTCTGCAGTGACATTTGCTATCCTCCTTCTCTCTGTAAATATTTTTTTTCTCGTTCTTTTTATGGCTCACCAAGCAATATTGCCACCACTCATCCTTGTTCTTGGCACACTTGTATCACAATCACAGCTGAATTTATCAACCCAATGAATATAGTATCAAATTAGTTTTATGCTGTCCGCAATGAACGAACCTGGAATATAATTCAAATTTTTTGGTCTTTAACATGTAGTCTGGTCAAGGAACGTGATCAGTCAACTTCATTCGGTTTATTTCACTTCTTTGCAACATTTGGTGGTAATGCCACCTATCTGTTTTTGTTTGTACACTCTCATCATTCCCAGTCGCATGGACCCCATTGTTCACCTTATAAGGATAGCTATTAGCATTGTCTCTTGTCGTTCCGCCTTATTGCCTGTGGACGATGATGCTGGCGGCTTTTATCTTGTATCATTGATGGTTTAAGGCACTTCTTCATCTCCAGCTGCTTGGACCCAATGGCCCACCTTATAAAGCTAGCAACTAGCATTGCCTCTTCTCTTGAAATGTCCATCTTATTTCATTCCTTATTTTGATGGTTGTCTAGATAGGAGCTATGTAGTAACACATATTTTATATTAGTATTTTTATATGTCTGTCTGCCTTTTGTCCATGTCAGGCTTTTGTCTTGCCGGCCTTTTAGATGTAGGCCTTTTGGATATCAGCCTTTTGTCTTACACCCCCTTGTTGCCGGCAAAACCACCAATATTTAAGTCTAATATATGTGACCTAGGCTAGTTGCATCTATCCTGTTCGCAACGCCCAATGTGACCTTTCCCGAGTCTATCCTGCCCGACAACGCCAATTGTAACGAGTTGAACCACTCATGCTACACAACATCGACTACAGTAGAAAGACTCGAAGATGCAGGTTCGCTATTGATCCTTTTATTACATGAATCAAGAAATGTTTCAATATAACACAATGAATCAACAGAGATGTTTCACAATAATAGTCTGAATCAACTGACCCCCTAACAGTCCTCACTAGGCTTCATATAACTGAATCCACATGTCTATTGTCCTTCTTAACACAATATAACCAACTTGGGTATGTCACCCAGACTGACTGATCTAAAGCAAGCGACGACGACGGAAGAGAGAGCGAGTCCTGCCGTGCCCTCCTATTTATGCCTTGTATCCGTACTCGTCTCCGTACTTGTATTCCTCCGTAATCGATACTTGTACTCGATCTCCGACCACCAGTTGCGTAGTTCAAACGTACAGACCGTAAAATAACATCTGCGTCCTATCCATCAAAGTTGACAGGCCGTCTGAATACCGTTTCCCAAAATAGCACGCCTTGGCTTTGAGGTTGTTATCAGCCCGACCCAATAAGCCACCTGTTATCGGTTGCATCAGACCAACACCGTGTCTCGGCTTCTCGTTCGTTATCATTTGTAACTGGTAGTTAGGCCTACCCCAGTTACATCCACCCCTGCTTTTTTTGTGTGTTTTCAACCACAAACAACGCCTGGCAGGTGCACTCCTCCAAAGTCAATC